TCCTTGTTTTCTTATGCTACGATATTTTCCTTGCGTTAATATTGGTTTCTTATGTTGTTCTTACCATATTAACTTATGATTTGACTAATGGAAATGTATTTTTTTGTTGAATACGATATGTTTTTGATTGTCTTACTTTATTGTTTAGATATTTAGTTTGCCGTGTTAACTTTATATTATCTTGTTTGAGTTAATTTTCTCTTGTTTGTCCCTTAAGACATGCATGTTAATTGTTAACGTAAATAATGTTGTAAATATGAGATCATCAACAGGATTTGGGAGAGCCCACTAGATAAACCTCCTGGTTTCTTGGGCTCTCCTGCATGTATTTGATTGTACATAATTTCTTTTTATACCATTACTTTTTTTATGTGCGAAAGGACAATAAACAATAAACAATAAACACTTGATCCTTGGAAGGCATGGCCCTCTTCTTGCCTAGTGAGCAAGAAGGTTTATCACAGAAGATGTTGAGCTTGAGTTGAAAAATATCAATAAAAGGAAAATTTCAAAATTGCTATCTTTGGATAATCTGGAACAATGTTGAATTAACATTCCATTTTAATTGGATCTTTATTATAGTTGTATCAGATACCATATCAAGGTATTGTGTACTTTTTTGGTGATGAAGCCCCCTTGTCACAAAACCAACCCATTTATGATCTGTTATTGGACTGTATGGTACCTTGTTTCTACTGTTAAAAGTATGATAATCAATGCAAACTATCTGTTGACTCACATTGCACAGGTGGGCTTTCACTAGGTTGCTGAGGTCCTCAAAGCCATTCTTTGTGTCCCTACTATGATGGTAGGTTTCAATAGTTTCCAATGCTGCAGGAATTTTGCAGTTGTCCAGGAGCAATGGCAAACACCCCTGTCCATGTTTCTTTACAGCAGTGAGGATTGCTAGCTGTAGCTCATAGTCACTTAATGTATCATCCAAGAAGTTCTGAGAGATGACTGCAACAGTGATACAACTGTTCTGTATACTATTGACCATGTTGGTCAGTATGGGTCCTAGAGAGTCACGACGTCGATAGTAGACCTTGAGGTCTTCATGCTGCTCCTCAATGTATCTCACAGCTTTGACTACAAAGTCAAGATCTTTGTCGTGATAGATAAAGGTGACATCATGATCATACAGGTGGTCACCTAGACATAGGAAAATAAAAATGAAGTAAAGCTGCTGAATATGTCAAGTTTGTAATTGTACTGAAAAATGTGATAGCTTGAGATGAATAATCCAAGGCTAAAACATTTTATAACCCTAAGTTAAGACTTTGATAATGGGAATTTCTTGCAGCATTTGATTATGACAAATAAAACAAGGAAGTTGACACAAAAAGGTGACTTGACAGTAAATAGTGTACTCTCCAAAAGCAATTTTGAATCATCTTTTCATTATTATTTCGTAACGTAAATCTTTGTTTTTGAAATCTCTACAGATCTAATATACAATGTATACAAATGATGTATGCACGAAACATGTGTAAAACGTGTGGAAAAACAAAAACATTCCATCAGAGATAGAGGGAAGAATTGCACATACAGGTACACAAAATATTTTGTAAAAATGTTGACCTGAGAAAAAAATTACACCATTCCACTATTTCTTCTATTCTATTCCTAGATTAACCAAAAATAAATGTCAACATTTTTCTGACCCCCACCCAAAAGAATTTGTCCAACCACCTGTGAATAAATACTGCACCACAGTAGTGCGCATGACGTAATGTTTTTGTTGCAGGGAATTCTGGGAAAGTAAATGCCGACCGTCACGTCACGTGGCTTTATTTACTAACAAAGGTGTGCGGGGGAGTGTGCGGGGGGACCTGGCGGGGTGTGCTTTTGTACTCAGTTTAAAGACCAAAACACGGTGTAACAGTTACACAACAAGTTCTTTTTCGCACTTGGAAGGTCATAGTAAGTTGCACATATCAAGCAATGAAAGTATAACTGTTCACTTTTGTTTTGCCAAAACTATTTTGGGCAAATAAAACTTTGACATAGCGTCCTGATTACGCTTTTGGTCGCGGATTGAACTCAGCAATATTGTAACATGGCATTTGAATTTTAAGCTTTTGACATGTCTAGCTATTCAGTGGCTGATATCACTCACCTGTCGCTTCAGCTGTTGCTCTGTCTGCCTCCTGTTGAATATGGTCTGGGATAGTGGACATGCCCGTGCTCAGGACTCGGGTTGTACTTTTCATGTAAACACGGAAATGTTGACGTTTTCACTCACCGCCGAGCTTGGTGCAGGTAACTTCAGGTGATTAAAATGTCAACAACGACTTCATTTAGTCGTAATGAGATCCCTACATTATTCGGGATGATAGAACGGTTAGAAAATATTTGCGACCGTCTATTCAGTAGACAATTAGCGCTATCAAACTGTCTAAGACTTCTGTGGACTAGCTGAAGTGAGATGTCACATGCTACCTGTTACACAGTGTTACACGTACATGTGATACCTGCTTGCTGATTGGTCAAGCCCTATACACCTGCAGCCCGGCTGCGTGATCAGCGCCAGTTAAGGCGTGATCTGTGTTTTGGTTGCCTCGTGTCAGGGGGAAGCCCCAGGACGGCACATGTCTTTCCGGTGGAAAGTCCAGACCTTTTACCCCTTGATGTCATGCTTACAACATCTTACAAAATTGCAAGTCACGTTTGTGTCATTTGACCACCTGTGCTGCGGTTATTTTGACATTTGCAGATGACTAAACGTTACCACTCGTTGCATTGGATCGTTATGAACGTTCAACACCTGAACTCCACGGTCTACGCTTCTTTTTAGTGTCGCGAAAACTAGCGCAATGTAAATATGAGGTATTGAGGGCTCCCAACACATTATTATACCAAAGAAACGCTTTTATCATCTTTATGCAATATAGAATACATACTGCATGTATACAAGTAGAAATACACATCACGACGGACGCTTCATGTCTACTCAACTGTCATGTTATATTTCACTTCACAATACAAAATGTATAACATAATATATATTTTACTCAGTACACACACTTCAAAACTCAATAGCAAAATGTTGCATAACGTTATTCAAGCATGTCCTACTTGCCACATATTTCTATAGATGCAGTCTACTGAGGTAAGACTCCAGTGTTTTGTGATGTTTACCGAAGTCTGGGTCTTCCATGATACCTTCGAAGTAGAACAGTTGGTCCCTGATCAAGGTCCGAAGGGTGGGATCATGGTAAAACAACAAGTGAGCGGCCACATAACACGTGTGGAGCAGGAAGACCGAAAAGGGAAGTGCGGTGAAGGGATACATCTCCAGAAGCTGTGTGATACCTTTGATGTTATGTCCCTGAGCGAGTGAGATATTGGCAATGACTGCCCAAATTGCTATCTCTCCGGCTAGTACAGTGACAACACAGCTCCGGACTGACCTATATGAAGTATTAGCTGTAGAGACTAGTGTACGGATAACATCGGGCACTTGGTTTTCTCTGCCAGACCTACAACATTTATACATGGCCACGATCTTATATCTACAGTTTGCAATCTGCTGAAAGCAGTATAGATCTTTAAACAGTGGGAACACCAGTAAAATTAAGTGTACATGGTGGATCTCGAACAATGGATGTCCAAGAGTCGAGAAAACTAGACCAAGCAATGGCAGTGCCAAAGTTAAGATGGTCGCGTTCATAATAGCAGTTCCACAGAACGTCATGGCGCTTCGATCTCTAGAGGATCGCACGATGTACCGTAATTTGTCCGAAATATCAGAGGGCCGTAGGGCTGTGATCACCGCTAACTGAATGTGAGACAACACGTCCTCTTGTAACGCACGTAATATGTCCTGGGGAACAAAGATACGAGCAAGTTATCTATGCAGATCCACTTGTAACGCTATTACCGGACGTAGAAAACCGAACGACAAAGTATAATACAAGTACGAAGAACTATAACAAGTTTTCAAACTTACTTAAAATATCTATAGTTTGTCGTATGCATCTACAACTAGTATCACAAAGTTATACCTACCCACTGTCGCGGTCTGCTTGGCGATTCGAACCAGGGGTAGGCTGAGATTCGTGCACCCTCTCCGTAGACGTCTGGGCACTAGATATCTGAAACAAAGGGTTTCATCTCATGAACATGAAGTGTAATGGATCTCTTGACAGAAAAGATAAAGTGTAGTGACACCCTATCAAATACACGAGGAAAAGATACTAGTACATGAGAAGTGAGCTTTACTTATTGGTACATACATGTCCCTGGATGACTTTCATCAGATCTCCTTTAAGCCGGTCAAAATCCCCGTTGAATGAGACCGTCCTGGCCGCCGCTAGCAGACCTGGAGGGTCACACCCCTGGCAGATCACTGCGACCACCAGCTTATCCTGACTTTGTGCCGCCGTGACCATGGCAATCTCCAAGTCGAGTAGCCCGCCGCCACGCATGAAAGGATCAGAAATGATGACGACGATGGCGCGCGAGTTTCGCATGGTGTTTTCCACCCAGTCCGTTATCAACTGATCAGGCTGGATGAAGGCATCGCGGTGTCTGAAGAAAGTGCTGTAGTTGTGCCGCTCTACAGAGAACACCAGAAACCTGGCCAGCTCTAAGTCCCGGCTGTGGTACACAAACGTCACGTCTGCAAACGGGACAGGAAAAAGTTATAACTTAGGGACCGATGTCAAATTCGTCAGGTTCTGTCACAGCCTGCTTGAAAATTCTACGACAAAATCTTACGACGACTATGATCACTCCTTTGTCGAGACAGAAAACATTTCAAGGAGACTAAGGTTATAGATATAGATTAAAAGTTGCCTGATGAATTACATAATCACACAATGTAATACAATGTGGATTTATTAGGTTCATTTGCGTGGTATCTGGCTGACGAAAAGGCCGTCCCAGAATTGCTTACTGCGTACCTAGGCTTGTCGCTCTTGTAAATAGATATTTAGTCTTTAACCCTGTGGGAACGACCTGGTCTTTAGAACGTCTGATGTACACACAAGTCCAGCCTGACACAAGTCCATCCTGTCACAGTTGTTTCTGTAGTTTTTAGTAGCCCTGCCCCCAGGAAATTAGCGTCATGAGCGATAGAATAGATAATTCGCCTTTGCTTAAAATATGGAGGAAACATGTACAGCTGTTTCTATGTACATTGTAAGACGTCCATGTGTTCGGGACTAAGCGGGTACCCGTGTTTCATTGTGAAACATGACACATTGTGTGCCCTAATGAATTGGAGGTCGCATGTTTTGTCAAATATAAATCTAACGTAACGTAGTTTAACCTGACTTGCAGCTTGTGAATTCCGAAATAGCCATTGGTAAGAAACAGTTCAACTGTAATAATCTTGTCTCCGACTCAAAGCTAACGTTAGCTATATATAGCTATGACCTTCAGAATTTGTCATGCTCAGAGATCCTTACATTCTGTATCCCTACAGCAGCTTTGGCGTCTTCGTTATGTACTAAAACTTTGAAATCCTACTGTACGTACCCTTCTTGACCAAATGCTGGATTGGTGCTACCATCTTTGAGTGCTTCACAGTCTGTCCACGTATCTTTTCCCTATGTTGCCTGCGGAGGAGTTTTAGCCTGCGTTGTTCTCATGGAGGAAAACCAATACACCTTCTTTTGTGCCGACCTGGTGTTGGGTCACGGGAGTAAATATGGCGCCGTTGGTTGGGTCATGTTTCAAATCCCAGATTGCAACGCTCGCTGTGATTGACTTATAAAAGATCGTAAGGGGACATATTGCACCATCATGCTGTAAATAGGGAAACATTGGCTACATGTGGAAATTGGGCTGGTACCTTTGCACTGACATTTTCACACATAAACAAGCACGAAGAAAACTGCATGCTTCACTCATAGCCTTTACTGAACCAAGATACTCTTAAATACAAATATCACGTGCTACGTTCATCCACGTACCACCAAAGGTGCAACAGCCAGTAAACTTTCATTCTTTTTATTGTCAAGTTTTCATAACGTGTACATTTTGTACAATGTTTGCCACTACAAATTGTGATTTGCTCAAGTTTATTATTTCTTAACAATGGAAACAAGATGTGCAGAAAAAGCTGAAAATGTGCATGTCTTTCTGTTGATACATATAGTTAACAAAACTACTGACACTTCCTGAGTAGTAGCAGCATCAAACAATTGCATTGTACATGTCAACAACGTGGCTTCAGATTACCGTGATATCGATATTCTACTTTTTAGCATATATCTGACTGTGACACATCTCACACAATGTTTCTAGTACCTATTAGCAGCAATATCTTTTTCAATACTTCTACAAAAAAATTATCAATTTTCCAGATCAACTTGGACACTGTCACTGAACCGTAATATTTATAGCAAGTATCGTATATGCTACCGAAATTACATCCGACTATGTACTAATTGCCAGGAAGACGGAACAATGATATTCTTTGCACGAGAGCATATAGTTTACTAACAGCTCTGTACTAGCCGCTAACAAAAGTAATGTTTACTCCTATCTATATTTACTAAGGAATTCGAGGTTACAAATATATTGCTAGTTGTCGTTTCCTGATATAAAGGCGAACGACTCTTGTATATGGCTTGTTGTGGTACCAGTACAGTGCATTATCAGCTGTGAGTTCTGTGTAATACAGACGTTCCATTCAATAGATGATAATTGTCACCGACTGTAGTCTTGGTAATTGCCCTGAAATCTCCAAGCAGATGTTAGGGTGAAAAATCGTAACGCTCAAAATTTTCTAGGTAGCTATCACTGAGAATCCCGACAGTCAAGAACTCTACGATCTTTTATTCAAACATCTCCCCGGGGATTATTTACCCTGTGCATGTAACAAGTAGTTAACGTTTATTCTGCGCCTTCCGAAGTTTGCAGAAACATGGTACTCGGCCCCGCTAGCCTAGTCACCGCTCTGTGGTGTAGAAGGACCACGGTCCTCTGGGCGGGCCGCTGATGGGCACCATGTTCACCCAGCGGGTCTCCGTCACTTTCCCCACGTCAGGCAGCGTCACTGACGACCGCGTGATCTCTGGTGTACCGGGACGTAAAAAAAGACAAGTGTGAAACAGGAGGATCGTCGAGGGAGGAAAGAAGCCTCTACCGGGGCTTGGGAAGCAACTGGAAAGGACAGGAATTGGCCAAATAGACAGATGATATGCCAGCTAGCCAGGGGAGTTGGTCCGCGCAAAAAGAACAGTTTGCGCCGAACTACTCCCCTAGCATATCATCTGTCTATTTAGCCAGTTTCTACTCTTTCCAACCGCTTCCCGAAGCCTGGTAGAGTCTAGGCGGAAAGAATTGTACCAAGGGTTCGCTATTAGCCTGTCGCTGACATTAAAGGAGAATACATAAGTACATAAATATCAAAGCAGCGATATCTAAACGTGATTTAAAGTAACACTTTCATACGACAATGTTCTACTGTGGGCCCCCATATTTTCCAATAATGCCACATTGAGGCTGTTACATCAACATATAATTACTACTAGTATCATTGGAAGCAGCAAAAAGCACTCCTTCAATTATCTAAGATCTAGTCTTAAGATTCTTAAACTGTGTAAGTCTTGAGTACCCAAGAAGATGTTCTCCCACTCACCTGAATGCACAAGTGGATTCTGTGGCTTGTAAACTGTGCCCCTTCCCGTGATCCTCGGCGCGGGCCTGAGTTCGGGAAGTCTCAGCTGTAGACCGTCTGCGCTCTGTTGTAATCTGTAGAACAGACAGTCATGAGCTGATCATATACATGTACGTCTGGAACATTATATTTCTGCATAAAGAAATTTGCGTACAACTTAGCAGAAATAGTTTCCTTCTACGATAGTTTATGTCATTAGAAGTTTAGCATCGAGCATTTTAGTTCTAGTTTGAGAGGTGGGCTTCTATGTCACGTCGAAATCATTTCTGTCTGAGACACCAACATTAAATGTCCATCAAAGTTAGAACTTCACTCAATGATAGCTCAGCAATTAGTGGTTCGACCAATAACGCAGTGGCTGCATGTCCGTCAAAGACTTTTGTTGCTTTTATTTTGCATATCTTCGATTTAAGTCAGTTTGACCTATCGTGGTGGGCAGGGCTATGGGCCCGGGATTGGTGTATATACAGCGATGTCGCTACCTACTAGTAGTTCGTATGGTCATACTCTGACATGTGTAAAGTCTGACCTCAGGTTGTGATCGCTGAATTTCTTGAGTTTCCTTGCGTTGAGACTGTCCGCCGGTAGTCTCTGCCTGGGCAGGCCGTTGGTCTGTGCCCGCGCCCGTGTCCGTGGGACGTCTATGGACTGGTCGTACAGAGAAGGGGCTGTGCGCGGCTGGTCCTTCCAACTGCGTTTCAGGAATATCCGACTCCAGTCGAAGTGCTTGTGGTTCGGGTCTGCAAAATAACGTTTACTTATCATTTCTAGATCTAACAATTCGTATATATTAATCATCCTAATAATTCGAAAACCAGTCACATCTCAAGGATAGTAGCCATAGAACAGCGAGAGATCTGCAGGAAAATTAGATGGATTATGTGAATTTATTGGAACAACGGAGGAGATTGTATGATGTACTAGGCCAGAAAAGTGTAGTGTTGGAGGGCCCCTTGTGCAATCTTCGGCTTTCTTAAATCTGTTTCTGCAAATCCTGCCGACTTTCGTCGAGATTCATGATCTTCAACTGCACCCCATTTCCTGTGTCAGACCTTTTGATATCCCACCCACATGCCGTCAACCTACTCCGTCCGGACAAGCCTAAACCTACAGACAATATTTTCGGAATAAAATTTATTGAGAAAGTTAAGAATTAAGTCTTAAAACACTCACATGACTGTCCGTGCCCTGCATATGTGACGTCTGTGTGCGGCAGAAGGTGGATGTTGTACGACCTCTCCGGGGCAGCTGTGGGAGGTTTGACCGGCACGGTGTAACGCCCGCCGCCTGCTGTCTGCCGCAGGGATACCTGGGTAAGGTACGGCAGCTTTTCCCGCGCCTCCTGCAGCTCACGTTTAGCCCTGTGGGAGTTAACGACCTGGTCGTTAGAACGTCTGATGTACACACAAATCATGTCCTACGATTTTTTTCTGTGAACTGACTAAATTGAAAATTAGCCACGGGACTGAGAGATTGAGTAACGCAGGGTATAATTTCTGAGGCGTCGCCAAAATCTAATATACTAATTACATAGATGTTTCATAGCGTTTAGAGAGAAAACAAAAATGTTCTCCTCAGATTACTACATTACTAGAAAAAGCGAGATCTGTTTCAGAAAAATAAAAGTCATGCCCAAGTTAGACTTTAGAGTAGCGACATGCTATAACGTTGTTCTAAGTCATATTCTTCGTCCTTTACATGCTACCTGCGATCAGCCGTCGCAATTTGCGAAAGACTTAGTATTATTGTCATCTTATAAGCATTCCATTCCATCTCTAAAGCCTCCATCATACCACTTCAATCGATTTCTCAGCATTAACACTATTGACTTAGATTCCTGACAGAAGCTTCGAGGGGAATAGATTCGCCCTTCATGTTTAGCGCCACCTATACAATTAGCACAAAACTGCAAGTGTACGGTCTCAACGTCAGCTCGGTGACGTTTCCACAGCAACGCCCAAACTATTTGCCGCGACATTTCTGTCAACACACGGTGCGGTAGGTGGCGTGTGGGCCTTAAATACCTGAAAATAAATACCCGGTTCTTGACAGGTGTTCATTATATTCCCTGTTCATATGTCCATCTCAGTTTCTCCTTTGACGATGATGACATTATGGAGCTTCAGTGATCTTAAAGAATGTAAATTTGGGTCATCCGTGGCCAGAGAAAAGACCGCCAGCTGAATCCAGGTGTTATAGGGCAGGTGTAAGGCACAGGTATAATTAGTCCTCATTGTGAATCAGCCAAGGAAAACACGAGTCTATAGAAAGGAACTGGTCCGTGCGGACAGGCGTGAAAGGAGAACCTGCGGACACAAACTGTGTGCTCGGTTCACGGTCACTGCAAATGTAAGGGAGCGTGAGTATCGAAGCCGCTCCGCTTTTGTGTCAGCCCCGGATCAGTTCACCGAGCTTTTTGTACAGAAGAAGAATACCAAAGAATACAGAAGGCCCCCACGCAAAACTGTGGACGATGCTTAATTGGTTCCTTTTCTTGCAGAGCTTGCTTAAAAGAGCTGGTATAACTGATGTCGATGCCTTATCCTTGACACTCATAAAAATTAGGTTCCTTCCCTACTTTGGATCTAACGTTAATGTCAGACGAAAATTATCCGGAGCGGAAAAAAAGAAATAAAAGGCAGGGAGTCTTGTGACAAACATGCCTGTGTAAAGACATCTTATCAACGACAAACTTAAGCCATGTCATACGAAAGGTGAAAGAAATGATAATCAATGTTGAAGTTTAAAATGTACAAAAGAGCATATCTATGCCTTCAAGTGTCACTTGTGTCTACCTTATAAGTAAACAGTTCGCAGTTCTATTGACCGATGGTAAACATGCGGCATGACGACGCCACTTCTGAATAAAAAGCACATCCCCGTGCGCAAATACACTCATTGAGACCAGTTAGTGCCCTTATAAACTCATCCGTCTTTCTGAGGAAAGGTAAATCGGTAAAGGAAAAGCCAGACCTTTGTGGTTGCAAACTTTCTTATCGCTTTCAGGCCATAAGTCACCTGAAGTTCACCTGGGGTCGATCACTACAAGCTAGCGTGTACCAAACACAGAACGTTATTGTATTGGTTGGCACAGACGACTGAGCAAGACGATGAACTAGTATATGACTTTAAAACACACCTTGAAGATCCTGTATGGTACAAAATCCATAAATATTCTATGCGATTCCGATGTAAAAAAAATAGCCATGGAATAACATTCACCCTGGTATATGCTAGGACTCAATTGTTTCTTAACGCATCTTGTACTAGTACTTGTAACCAAGCACAGAGCCAGGTTGATTGATTGATTCAGAAACATCCATGCTAGCGAGGGGAGCGTCCCTATACTGTCTCCTACAACAAGCTTTGCAAACACTGTGATAGACTAGACAAACCTTACCATGACCACATAGTTGCTAACACCTGCCGAGTCTCACATAAGCACCCGTCAATGAGCTACAAGAAAACGTGTACGCCACAACTGGTGTCGCCTCCACCTTGGGAAACATGGATGAAACCGGGGCTGCCCTATTTGTACAGGTCCAAGTAGTCCGGACACGGGTGGAGAAGAAACAGAAGAGAACCGACCACAAACAGCGGCTAGCCTGGAGTTGTTTTCGTAGCTACAATGCACTGTTTCAACAACAGAAAGAGCATGGCTTTCCACTCCAATGATTAACCCTTCACTTTATTCGAATTTGAGGTTAAAAACAACCTTCAATGTTCAAAAATCAGCTTTTTAGGGAACCATTTTACACGATTGATATCTGTAAGACATTGTGAAGAAGAATCGTTTTATACCAAAGACAAGAGAGTTAACGAAAGGGTAAATGGATTCCTGTCGCATTCATGATCAACAAAATATTTACTCGTCAACGTTATCACCAGCACACATCCACCAATAACAAATTTTGTTTCACACATCTTCGTTCTAAATGGTGACGTTTTTTGACTGATAACAAACCGTTTTCAGCGTAAAATGTACTAGAGGCACGTACTATATACAGAACTTCTACCCACAAGGACGAAGTTTAGGAAAACAATTTGGTCTGACTATATAAATGGCAAATTTTTGTAGAGACGTTTCAAGTGCAGCGAATTCGCTAGCCTCCTTCCCCAGGCCTTCCGAGTATTATGGATAGTAAGATTCAATCTTTGGCAGTAAGATTATGATACCCGATCAATTAAGATAAGAGTATATCAATCTTTGGATAGTAAGATTAGCCCAAATTAAACACCGTGAATTATTGTCCTGGGAAGTCAGTCTTAGGAAGAGCAATATTTCCCCTAACTGCGCGGGAAATGAGCTCTACAGTGTTAATCTCCTCTGGCCAATTATTCTCCCTGTTCGGATAAATGTTACTATTTTCAAGCCGTGTTGTTAGTTCGGTGGTGACAAGAAATTTTCTACCTACAACAGGACGCTCTGTACTTACATGAACAAAACTCCTGTTTTTATAACGCCCTTTAAAAATAAATAGAAGGAAACTACAGCAACAAAGCCAACACAGTACTTAAGGTGAAGGTTAGACTGAGTAAAACGAACATCACACAGCAATCTGATTCACAGTAAAAAATTTTCAAAGCCAAAATCAGCTGACGCTGCCTTCTGTCGATAACGGTAACGTACGCCAAATGGAACCCATATCCTAAAGTTTAGACTTGACGGCGTATTTCCCACTAACTTACGTACCTGTCAGGTGGTGTTGCTACGCGTGTACAATAGTCACCAAACACGGTGTTGACCAAGTGAACCATGCCGCTAAAGTCTCCAACACCGCGCCGATAGAAGTAATATCTCCTGCACGGTGCCGCCCGGCGTGTTTATGGCACGCCCGCTGTTTCTCTGTAAACCTCCTAAAAGCAGATGTACTGTCAGATGTACCAACAGGTTAGGTTGTTGGCGTCTTTCTTCCAGGATGAAGAGTTATGTTTACCACACCTTCGCTGCTAACGTCTTCACAAAAGGCGTCTTATCGAGTTTCGGGGTCTCGACACTGAGCCTGAGGTTTTGAAAACAAATCGAAGGTTACAATACACGGCTTTTGATTCCTCAGCGGATCGCTTCCAACATGGCGTCCACGTTGCTATGACGACAGATTATAGCGCCACGGCCGTGTTTTCTAACCTGACAGTAGTGTTTGATAAGCCAAGCAAAGGTAGTAATTAAGAGACTGAGTCTCTGGTGTGATTGGCAGGTCTCTCAGTGTCCCGCTATAAAAACGTGAATGGACCACTTGTTAACGCAATAAGAACGGATACTGTAAACACCTGCATGTGAAGCGCCGGCACTTCCGGCCAGACGGTTTCATTCCCATCTTCGTTGTTCCTGCTCTTGCCTGAGGGTGTATATGTATATTAATCAGATTCAACAACGTTGACGTTAATTCTTCATTTTGTATTAAGCAAATCTTTTACTAGGGCGCGGTCGCATTTGTCGTAGATCGTCGTCCAATTTTGATGTGGTCGTAGAATTTTCAAGCAGGGTGTGACAGAACCAACCGCCGACAAGGATCTATAAGACAGCCTTTTCTTTCCGTAAACAGATAAATTTGTAAGAAATGTGCACGACTACTCCAAGTTTGCGATCGTACGATGATCGTACGACGTAAGTGGTCGCCCCTTAAGGATTCTGTTATGCAGATCGATCCACAGATCTTTTTAAGCTGCACATTGTGATGACTCCTTGCGCAAAAAAAAGTAACAAATCTCTGAACATCTAGACCTACATAAGGACCAAGACGTCCTGAAGTTGCGGTATAAGTTGATAGGTGGGGTTCTTACTTAACCGTTCATGTTATGACCGTTAAAATCGATCTCTAGGCAGTATGGCGAGTAACAAAGAAAACCAACAGGCTGAAACTGAGTGCTTATATATAGAACAGTGATATATCATTGCATGCAACATTTCTTATTCCACTTCTAGGTGCCATCACGTTTGAGACTAAGGTACTCATTTTCACCTGCGTCGAGGGAGGAAAATAGGTGTAAAGTGCCTTTCCACAGAGCTAGCGCACCAGTGTGGCCTGGCAATGATTGGAGCCAAAAACCCTAAACACAAGACACCCTTGCCACCGGATTTTTGTCACCACTTATCTATGCTTTTTATTGGCATGGGTACCAAGTGCAGCAACTGATATGGGGCCAATATAGGCGCACATGCAACATAAAGTCATTGGTGGTGGTGAAACAAAGGTTTGTAGCTTAGAAGATAGCACGCTTGCTCCTTGAAGCTGCTAAACAGATTAGTCCTACGAAAAAACAAATTTGTTCATTTAGTTCTGAAGAAGCCGTGTGCTTCATGTGTGTGACAGCCACATTTATTTCACACGGTTTTCACTCAGGGACGGCCCGATCTTTTGATCTTGACTTGTCGGCGCCGCGCTTTCTTCTAATTGCGGCATCTGTCTTCTTGTATTCGCGCTCACATACGTCTTGGGTACGATTTTGATGCCTAGGCTTTTCAGGCTAATCTCCAAACAGATCTTTTGGTGGCTGCAAAGACAGTATCAAATTGGCCAGGCTTTTTCATTTGCCAGACAATTCCCAATTGGCTGTCATAAAAAATATATCAGTACAAAGAAAGAGAGCCCGATGAAACGTCTATAAAAACACGCAAAAAATAAGCCGAAGTCTACACTTCTGCTAGGAGAGTATTTTCAGATGGGCTATGACAGAACCTACCACCGACAAGGATCTAAGACAGGACAAAATGAGTTTTTCTGTCATGATGTATGGCTTTAGAACTGTCAGGGTGTCGCGGTGGAATTTCGTAGGTATACTTCTGCGGGCGTGTACTGAGGATTTACTACAGCTGGGCGGCGGAGTAAACCGCCTTTATTTTGCGTCCTCAAGACAAATGTCGTGACACAACAATTACGTTCTCTTACTAGTATTTATTTCCCCCACAGTCACAGAGACAGAGTCACTCAGGAATATGTTATAAGCCAACGTCAGTCCTCCAAGACGAGTAAACACTTCAAAAGATTTCTAGATTCATCGAACACTGAAGTTTTATTACATTCCTGCTTATCCACGCGCACAGTTGCAGAGAACTTCATGCATTCATGAAGTTTGAATCCGTTTGGACAAAAGTCTTTTCAGTTATGCTCGTGTTTTTAAAATTACCGAGCTGCCCAACGGGCACCCAGGCATCTTAAAAGATGCCTGGGTGCCCTTTAGGCAGCGCGGTAATTTCCCCGCTGGTACTCTAGCCGGTTGTAGCTGCACAAGACGCCTAGAGGGTTGTGTTTCCTCCTACTTTTACATTTATCCTATCAAAGGGCAAATTCAAAGGCCGGGTGACCTTTCTCCGCTTTTTGATGGATGAAGGAGGTTGTTATCAACGTTCTCGTCGGGATGTGCCGCCTCTGGATCCACTAGTTCCATTTTAATCAGCTCGGAAAGAAAATGTGCTTAACCTCAGCATTGATCGCTGAAGGAACTTGGGATTTGGCCAAGACGTGATAACTCCTCCACAAAGACGTCTATAAAGTTGTGAATAAAAATCATCCTATGTTAAGCCACAGAGATAGCTTCTGTGAATGCCTGGATTGCTGCAATCTAGTAATCTTTCTTAAATGGGAAGTTCGCGATATGCTGCTAGCTATGTCTACTGCAACATTCATCTCGAAGTGCGATAGATGTACTTTATCACTTTAGTTGACTTATGTACTAACAGTGTCTATTGAGTATACAGGACGGCATGGTGTCTTTCTGATGATACTATAATGAGCCATCAGCCGTCACGGACTTAGGTGATTTGAGATTCGCAAATTTCGAGTCAAGAGTTTGATGCATTACCGCCAGCATCGGGCAATTTCTCCGTGCATCGGCTGTAAAAATCTACAGTAAAGTAATCTACAGTGAAAAGTTGTCTAGCTAGCTAATGCTCCCCTTCTACAGTATGATATCAACATTACAAAATCTTTCCCGTTCAGAAAACTCACTCAAAACTCACACAAAAAGTATGTTTACGTCATTCTTACTACAAGAGATTACAGTAAGAGCTGCAGAAGTCAGCATTGACATTAGATAACAGTATTCACATTAACTATATGCATAAACATACATACAGAACCCGTTATCTAAATGGTCAACATCAATATCCATTACACACAGCCGTCAGACGATATTTTCCATGCGCCCGAAATTGGCCGTCGGCTCCCGGAAACGCCAGCCTGTCTGTGACGTCCTCAGATGGATTGTGTCTAAGAGGATTACGATAGGCTAAGCTGAAAATATTTCCTTTATATGCGGTGTAATCCTTTGAGAGACGGCCTTTCAGATATTGATAACCATAGTGCTTTCAGTGAGCTTATTGGGTATTCAGCATTCAGTTGAAATAGCTTCTTACGTATTATCAGAGTTCTACAACTACTTTTCAGCTTGAAGGCGTCCTTGGAAAGTCTTTCTTGAACGATTTCACATAGCACCCGAGGATATATATTCTTAGATATCTATGACATAATACAGCTCTAGGGCATAAAAGTGCTATTATGAATTCATATTGATACAAACCACTAAAGGCTGTGTCACATACATGTTCATAATGTACTGTGAGAAATTGAAAGATGAGAGACATAAATGTTAATACTTTAACTAATACCCTTAGTTACAATACTTACGGCGTTACGTATAGAGTTCCGTTTTCAATTTGTTGTCGAATGTATAATTTTGTCGACTGCGCCGCAGATGATGATGATGATGAATGCACAAGTTGCCATTGACATTTGGAAAGTTAGTTTAATGCCGTCTCGTGCAGTAATGTTAAGTATTACATAAATCACATAACTCGGGGCTATGTGTAGTCCCTGTATGCAATATATCTATGCTAAGCAAAATGAATATGCGATAGAAAATGAAAGGATAAAAACAGATTACCCGTAATAACATACAGGTAAAAAGATGCTGATGGTAAAAGCGGAAGGGCTATAAAAATGCAATGGGGGAAAGGATTGCAAGTCATTTTCATTATGAGCCGAATAGGCTGCGTTGTATAATTTGGGCAATGTCATTTACAATGTTAAAAGAACAATTTTCTTACAAAGTAATGGTGCTCATTAAGTAAAATGTCCAAACTAATGTCTTTCCATCAATACTGAAGCTATCGTGACCACGCACATGTGCTGTCGGTGTAGATTTGTTCTCTTCATGGAGAAATAAAAAGCCTAGCTGTTGAGTCGTCGTGTCTACCTACGTATACCAGTGGACACAGTAAAGAGTAAATTTCATCCTATCCTGTCAAGTGACCATTTTATACGCCTTGATTTTCGATCGTGTTACCATTTTTCACTAGCAGTACACAAAGGACAAGGACAATGTGACGTAGACTCAATAGGGCTGCGTACCTAAACGTAACATCAGGTACAGGTACAGGTACCGGTACAGAGGTTTAGGTACAGGTCCGGACCTGTACCTGTACCTGAACAATTTGACAAATTAACACGTGTTCTTCACTTTTTCAATCATGACACAGAAACAATAATAAAGTGTTGACAACTTGTCAACTTATTCAGAAAACATCAAACATAACTAAGTTAAATTATGTTTCCTTTCTCAGTTCTCAGTCACTTAATCTCAGAGTCAGACTCACAGACTCACTTACTGAACAGTGAACACACTTACTGACAAAAACTAGATATAACAAAATGTATGTTACCTATCTTTAGTCATATACATGGTGTAAAGTGTAAACTAGATATTTCGGTATATACTCGTTACTTCATGATCCGGTATTTTGGACCTGTACCGAAACGATTTTTACGGTATTGGACCGGTACAGTGTACCGGTCCGCAGCCCTAAGACTCAAGTTACAACTTATTTTGCTACGCCACGTATACACAAAACAACAAAAATGAGCGGTGTGTAGTACAGTGCGCCCCCCCCCCCTTCCGTTACCCAATGTTGTAGTTGACAGATACCCAATTTCGATGTACTAGTATATAATGAGTAAGAAAATGTAGTGCTTGACTTCTATATCTATTTGACTGACATTTACATCAGTAAAATAGAGCCAAACGCGTCTTTAGGCCTC